AGCACTAACGGTGCAGCACTCTTAAGGGAATTTCTATGTATCGTTAATACCTGTGCAACATTAACAGTGATATCTGTGTTACATTAACGACACACTTATACAGTATTAACAAGTAAAGCATTTCTATGCAGTATTAAGGGTGCAGCATTAACAGTGATAACTATACATCATTAACGGTGCAGTATACATATATTGAACGTTATCGTACAGTATAGAGTACAATGTACAGTACAATATAACTAAAGATAAGCTTAGTATTCTCAGTGGTATATATTATAAGCTTATTACTGAAAAATCTATACAGTAGTATCTTTTCCATTTTATAAATTTTAAAACAGAATACGGAATATATTGATTTATTTAATTTTTTTAATAAATATATTTATTTTATTTAAAAATAAACAAGAAATAATAATAAATAATATATTGAATATATTGTAAATCGATATTTTCTGCCGTTTATTATAAAAAGTAAAATGCGATTTGCATGAAAAATATGTTGTTTTTTCCCCTTTATCCATTCATGTTCCAATTTCGAAAGAATATATGCCTTATCCCTACTTTATTTTTTAAATTCTAAGCTGTTTATTCTAAAGTAAACGATTTTAAAGTTGTAAATATTTAAAAGAAAATTCTGGCGTACGCTCTATAATTACCCTTTTACAGCACCAAATAACCGAAGATTATTGACACTCTTCGATATTGATTATAGTTGGGCTGCAATTCAAACTTTAGATCCTTGTCTGTACGTATGTCTATCCTAGTTTAATATCTAGAACGAAGTTAGATAACTGGCACGACTCTGTTGTTATCAGGAAAAGTATGATGTACAGGCGCAAGACACTACTAAAATCGAGAGCATATATTTTTTTATTAAATAAATTAAAACTATGATTAAAAATGTCAGCCCTGCATTTTATTACTGGAAAAAATTATTTTATTTTTTTTTTCATTTCGCTTTTAATTTTCTGGTTGGATTATGATTCGATCTTTTTTTGGAGGACAAATATGGAAGGAGTTAAGGGTTGAGGACCATATCTCCCGAATTAATAGTCCGATTTTTTTGAAAATTTCTAGAAATATTTCTCTCTAATACATAAACCTTTATGCAAAATTTTAGAATTTTTCGACAAAATAAACAAGAGTTATTAGGCTTCAAATTTGGTGAATTAAATCCTGCCACCCACATATACACACGCACTAACAGTCATACATATAGAAAAAAACCCCTAACATTTTGCAATTTGTTGACATTTCAAGGTACCCTGAGTTCAAAATTTAAAAATCTTGGGAATGATTTTGTGATCGATCGCCATACTTTCTTTCTGTTATATACAACAGCCAGGAAGCTGCTGTCTAATCACATCCAAGAACGAAAGACCAACTGCCGAAAACTGTACGAAAAGTATCTTTCGGTAAACAAGTGGCAGTTTGTAGTCACGTTAGATGAAACATGGACGTACAGCACATGAACAATTGTAACAAACCGCGAGCAATTTACTACAGACCATCAGATGGGATGCCATATCAAAAATGGTTCAAGGGATGTCGCGAAAGTTTTCCGTCAGGCTTTATAGTCATTGCGGGTTATTGTTATCGTGGTAAACTAAACATCAGAAAAGTTGGAAAAAAAACGTTAAAATTAATTCGACGTAGTACCAGACTAACGTTCTGGAACCTCTATACCGTGAAGAGATCCCTACTTTGTACGGAAATGACCGAACAAATGTATAAATGGTGCATCAAGACAAACCTTCCAGTCATACCTCCAAATCGACCCGAGATTTTATCCATGTACTGTATTGGAACAGAAAACGGGAATCCATACCATCCTTTTCGATGACATTGCCACGAAGTCACTCGATGCGATTCCAGTCGACTACTGTGCGTTTGGACTACTGAAAAGAGCACTGGGAAGCCGTTGCCCAAAAACAATGGCAGGCTTATGGAAAGACTGTAAGGAGGAATGGGACCGTTTGGACATGAATGTTCTTCAAAGAAATCTTCTATAGTGGAAACTTTGATGTAAGGCTATAGTTTCACAACATGGCCATCAGATCGAGCATAATTAGAACTAGCGCCATGGCATTTAGGTTACTTTATAGGCCTCTAAATACCACATTATATAACGCGATCAACCCTCTGTATTCGAAATGTTTTTCCTCTTACTTCTATTCTACATCATTTTATAATTATTAGGGAAATTATTTCATAAAAATAAATGAATTATCTGTAATTTTATAATTTATCTTATGAATAAATTATAATAATATAAATATTAAAGGTATAGGGATGATTATTATAAGAGCTTCGTAGGATCAGGAAGTGTTGACAGAACATACAAAGAATTGTATTGGTGTGTACTTCATAGGGGATTTAATTAGTTAATGATTTTAATTTGAATATTAATTTAGTGATTAGAAAGGGTTAAATTAGAAGAAATTTTCTTTCTTCTATCCACTTCTACGTCAATTTATTAATAATATAAATTTAATTTCATAATAATAAATGGTTTATTTGTAATTTTACATTATATTTCACGAATAAACATCTTTCATTCTCATATTAATTATAAAATCGCTTTAAAAGTTTCATATATGTAGACTGAATACGTAAACAATCGTGTTAAATTTATAAAAAATAATGTGAAGTTATATTTTATAAATGAAGAACACCGATTAGAAGGTTTTTCAACGATAGAAAACGAATAAATCATGTAAATTCGATCTTAACCTAAAGGCAAAAAGTTAGTCTCTTAATTTGGATATCATAAAAGTTTCAAATGTGATAAAATTCAATACACGTGACTTGAATAAAAATTTATAGTCATAAAAATTAGTTTCCTACGAAATGAAATTACGTTTAAACTTACATCTATCTTATTTAATTNATACTCAATCTCTGAACGTTAATATTTTAATAGAGAAAAGTAATAATTATTAATTATAAGTATAATTTCAAAGGTTAGTTTGTTAAAATTATGTTATTACCTAAAAATTTTATTCTTGATGTTAATTATTAATCTTTGAGGCTGGTGATTTTGTTCTTGCACTTGACGCTAACTGAGAAACTAGGGTATTTCTCTAAATTAACTAATCAAATTAATCAAAAGTGAATAATACTAACTAGAAATCATTATTCTGAGGAAATATTTGGAAGTAATAAGTATGCACCGTTTACCAATTAAATGTGGAAGACCTCCACTCAACCGAACCAAACAGGATTATTAATCTTTGATACTAGATATAAGCATAAACGCAGAAAAATTTATTGTAAAAATAAGTAAAAATTTAATGTAGAATATAAAAATTCTTTGGAATAATTCTGCTAATTCACTTGCAAATGCTACTTAGGATTTGTATTGCATTTACTGCAATGTCCTACTGGATAATACAATTAACACTAGTCGTAGGTTCGCACCTCGCCAATAGGCTGGCCACAAAGTTTTGCTGGTACGTTTGCAACTCGTTTATAAGTCTTATAAAGAAGCTGTTACTTTATATAATTATCATATATTATATACAAATATTAACATGTATAAATTTCGTATAACCTATCTGTTCTATAGTCTACAAGGTGTTTTCTCATCTCTTCATTCTTCCTCCTTTAGCATTGATCCTTTATGACTCTACACCATAATAATCCCAATAAATCTCTGAAATCACTTGCAATTCATCCATACTTTCTGAAGTGGATAATGGCATTAACTTTATTAAGAGATCCTTCTTAAAATATATTATATTCTATTAATTAATTTATATTTAAATTAATAAAATAAGTGGATTGATTAAGTATTGAGAAAGCAATATAAACAGTTTTTAATTTAATTCCTATATTATTTTACTTTGTTTTTCTCATAATTTTTTCACCATTTATTCTTTAAAGTAATTTGTTTACATGTAAAAAAATTATTGTTTTTTACTGAATATTATAAAATGTTATTTATTATTTAATAAAAGTAATTAATATATTTTTTTATTTAATTTATTTACCTGTAATTTAGGTAATTAGTAACCTGTCATATAATCTGAATTACTCTTCCTGAATATCAATTATTCTTTCTTTTATAGCGGTTATTAAAAATATGATAGCAATTATATATTTTATGGAATATTATAAGAATATTTTTTAAAAATACAGTTAAACCTGTCGAAAACGAAACCTGTATAGAACGAAAACCTGTCTAAATGGAAAAAATTCTTCGAAAGGGAGCGATTTTCTAATGTTAAAAAGGAAACCTGTTAGACTCAGTTTGATTCCGTTTTACACAGGTTTACACAATATTAAATAATAAAAATACAGTAAAACCTGTCTAAAACGGATTCGCACGATACCGAATATCTTTCTGGTTTGACAGGTTTCCGTTTTGAACGGGTTTTTATTTAACACAACAATCGCCCTTTTCGAAGACTTTCTTCTGTTTTAGACAGGTTTTGCTGCATTAAAAACGTATTCAAAATAAGTATAATTAACAAAAAAATATTAATATATATATAAAATAAGTTGAAAATATCATCAAAATTTCAATATACATGGACTTTTGAATAATGACAAAGAAGAATCACAGGTTAAAGATTTACTCCAATTTTAAATTCCAATCATTATTTCTGTATATATAAATATAGCAATATAGTAATTTAAAGTGCTTAAATTCAAATCAATACAGTATTTTTTAACAATTTTAAGGATTTATACTTATTAAACAATTATGCTTACAATAGTCTATACCAGTGATTCCCAAAGTAGACAATATTTCCTCGTTGAAAGTAAAGAAGAACTTTCTAAGAAAACTGGCCTTAATTATGTGTTAAAGACGTGAAGAAAACTCCACGCTGAGGTACGAACCCACGACCAACTACCAGTGTTTTATTAACTAAGCCACTGGTAGGCATTCGAAGTGTTTGGGAAAAACTGGTCTATGCTATCCGTAAAAATGTGAAATTTTAGAAATATTTATATATTAAAAAAATATATTTTATGTTTCTTTTATAAATTTCTAGTGTTTGGAACGGTACCCAAGAAGATTTAAGAAAATTGGACGAATTGTTAAGAAAATACGATCGGAGAGCATTGCCAACTAGCCATTTAGGTAAGTTCATCATATACAATACTAAACGATATCAAGATAAAAGGAATAAGGGGAAAAAAGAAAAGAAAAATGCATTTTTTATCGATTTTTTTCTACAAAGAACGATAAAGAATTTCGGAACATAAAAATCACATTAGGTTTATATTCGAGTCAATATAGAATCATTTATAACTGAAGCAAAGAGAAGCTTAGTTTTCGTGATCTTATCATCTTCTTCAACATCAAATTTCTCGTAATCTGAAAAACACAACATTGTTTAATAAATGTGACGAATGAGCTTATTCAAAACGGCATTTTCGTATGCAGAAAAAAAGGAAAAGAACTTATTTTAATTAATTATTTAACTGATATTATTATTATTATTATTATTATTATTAGTGTTAATCCCATCTGCTTCAAAACACTTGTCTTTATAAACAGCAAGTACAATACCTTCAATAGTCTTTTGAAATCTTAGAAATTGTCTTTTGTGATATCCTTTAGTGTATTGTTACGTCTCTTTCAATGTTTTCAATTGTTAAAAATTGTTCTTTCGGGGAGTTCCTTAACTTAGAAAAGAGTCACTCGATGATAACATCATACGATTTTTTTCCTCTTCTCTAAGTTGAAGAATTAGCTGAAAGACTTGATCTGATGAATCTGTTGAAATTTCGTGAAGTTTTAAAGCAAAATTTGATAGCTCTTGTGTTACTTTCGTGATGGAATCGACAAATACGTTGTTGGAACGATTATTTGGCACATGAAGAATGAAACAAGTTGCAACAAAGTCTTATCGTGTTCTAGATCAATCAAATGACATGCTGCAAGAGTTATAGGGAACGGATATTATAACTATCGTTACAGTGCTTCCTCTGTAACTCTAGCTTCTATTTTCTTTCAAATCAGCCTCATTACATTTACGTATTTGACTTCATAAGTTATTGTATACTTATATATATAATAACAATTTATTAGCTGATAATACTGTATTTTTAAAATTAATTATTACNATATAATTTATTTAGTTATATATATAACTGCATATTTATGTTTTCTTAAAGGGAAACCCACTGTTGTCTTTTGTGAGATTTATATAAGAAGTTTCGGATCAATTAATCCAGCTACAATGGTAATTAGATTTTATTTTCTTGTTGTTTAATGTATACACAATGCTTAACTTTAACATATTTAATATAATATTTTAAAGCTAATTTAAAAATCTATCTGCATAAAATTTTTAATGATCGGTAGCCTTTGTTTAAATTAACCTACCTGTCCTATATATATATATATAAAGTATATGAAGTATATAAAGGGTAATTATAAATAATAGTAGAAAGAACTAATGGACAAATCTTAACGAAATTTTGTATTAACACTGATTTGAATGTGCGGTTTCGATTTTCGGAAAAAATTCTTTACTTCAAAACTAGCCACTAGGACGACATTTAGCGCTGATGTTGTCTTAGTTTGCATATTATATACGTTTTCTAACGAATTTCGGAGGTTAGAAAAAGAAGTACAATACTTTCAACACCGAAATTTGTTAGATAACGTACGCAATAAGAAAATTAAGAGGAGAGCAGCGCCAAATTTTACACTAGTGATTAAATTTCGAAGTAAAAATTTTCTGGAAATAGAAACCGCATACTCAGGACAATGTTTTTATCAAATTTGGTTGATATTTGTCCAATAGTTCTTTCTATAGAGAGTCTAAACTCTTCCTCTTTAAAAAGGACGAATTAACTTATTTCCTAAATTCTATTAACCACAAAATCTAATTAAGTTTTGTTTTATAAATGAAATATTTTTAAGTTTTAAATATCGGTGAAACGTTTTTGTTTTTAATTAGTGAAAATATAGATTTATTTCTGTAATATTTTGCGGATAACCCGCGGGTTATCCGCAATATAAACTGATTCTAACTATGGGAACAGACTTCATGGTGGATTCTTAGAAGGACAAAGAACAAAAAAATACTTCTATTATACTGTACAGTATGTCCAGAAATGTATCAGACATGGATGACACCATTTGGCTTCATGAATAGTATACTGTCTGCTGAACAAAACCTTGCTGCAAGTGTAAGTAGTGCTATGAGAATGGTCTATTATTCCTATTATAAACAGTAGACCTGATATATTCACATACAGAAAAGCGAATGGGAATGGTCAGAGGCCGCACTGTTGTACAGTACCATGGTTATACCACAAAGTAACGAGAGATCCACGGAGGATACTTTGAGCATCTATTGCGATTCTTCCTGAGATGTGTATGCAACTGTTCATGTGTTAATAGGACTACTTTTGTTCTTTGTTCTTCCAGAAATAAATTCCTGAAATATCTATCCATAGTTGAAGTTATGAAGTTTAAGAAATTCGTAATTAATTAAACACAAATTTATAATCAAAATGTATTATTCTCAAATTATTTTAATGTTTATAAGTCTTTAAAATTTAAAAAAAATGTTCAAAATTTACATAAAATATTATATTTTTACATAATTCTCTAACAGGATTACGAAGTTGATCTTTATTTACGACAATCGTGGAACGATACACGACTCGAGAGTCCAAATGTTACTCGTGCATTAGATTTAAACGATCCAAATTTAGTTAAAAGAATATGGAAACCGGAAGTATTCTTTCCAAATGCTAAAAATGCAGATTTTCAATACGTTACGGTGCCAAATGTATTGGTTCGATTGAATCCTGGAGGTAGTATCTTGTATATGTTGAGGTAAGATAAACCTTTCTTTGAAGTAGAATATATTTATTTAATCTCGATTTAATTAACACTTAAAGATTCATTTTCACATATTCTGAAATTAAAATTGAGTTGAGTCTTAAATTTGTGGTTTTCTTTTCGTCCCTTAAAAGTCCGGATGCCACGAACATTTGAAGAATTTCTTGTTTAATTAATTTATATTACTTTCTTGTGTTTTTTAATTTACGTAATTAAGTTTTTCACTATTTAATAAATAATTTTACTATATTTATTCGTAATTATCGTCCAAATTTCTCCTGAAAATGCGTTTTACTTTCCCATTGTTAAAACGTAACACGGGGAAAGTATTTTAATGGTATCAAATTTTACCCCTGGCATTTTGAAAATCTTGATTTTTTCAGACCCCTAAACCCCTAAAAGTCAAAAAAGAGAAAAAATTTCAGAATAAATGTGTGTAATGTTGAGTATATTTCGTTTAATACCTCAATATGGGGATTTGAAAAAACGAAATTTGGCATGGTAACGTTTATACAAGGGGTTTTATTCTATTAAATTTTGAAATATGGAAAATTTTACTCGTCATTGGCATTGACAATATTTATAAAAACTCATTTCTACCCTCAAAATAGTCGTTTTTGACCTTTTATAATAATTAATAATATAAAAGTTATTTTTTTTTAAAAGTTTAATTTTGGTATCTTAAGCACGTGATGTCCTTTATCACACTAATTTAATGAAAATTTAGTAATATTTCCTCTTAATTATAATTTATTTTAAATGCATTATAAGCATTTTTACTCTAATAAATTCTTCTAAATTATGTTTACTAATTATTCAATATATTTCTTCTGAAAGACCATTTTTAAGGTGACGTTTATGTCTGAATTTCGAATTAATATAAAAATTTATTACTAAATATTTTAAAAATAAATAAAAAAAAGTTTTATTTTATTTAATTTGAACGTAAATCACTGAACGTGATCGACGTTTTTTTAAAGTTTTATCATGAAAATAAATCGATTAAAATAGAATTTTTTTTATATGTTAAATTTATAAAATTAACGACATTAAATCATTAAAAAAATAAATTTATTATTCTATAAACTCAATTTCTTTCTATTTAAATTAATATTGAACATAGTAGAAGATGATTGAAATGAATTAAAAATAGGAAAATCTTAATGGTAATTACATCATTTACTAAATGTAAAACATAATAAAGCACTCAAGAAAATTAAAATTATCCATTAAAGTATCAAAATTCTTTTAATATCGATTTCCTAAATGTATTTTTTAACATTTAAAATTTTTAAAAATGACTTCGAAACTTCGCCATATTATTCGTTTATTTTTAATTAATTCTCCGCGTGCCAATAAGCAAATAATTTAAAGTTTTAAAATTAAAATTTATTTTTGTTTTAAAAGTTTATAAAAATTTTCAAATAAATTTAGCTTAAATTTATAATTATTTTATTCTCGTTACTGGTTTATATATATACATATAAGGATTTATAAGTGAAAATTAATGACGAATATTTATATCAATTATTAACTATTAAATATATTATAATTAAATTTATAATTAAGGTATATATAAGGGAATTATTATAATTTATTAAGTCTATTATATAAGTGATATATGATATTAATATAATATATCTTAATTTATAAATAGGGTGTTCAAATTTTGAATTTAAACACGTTAAATATAAATTAAGCACTTTCAAATTTGTTTTTTTTTTCGCCTTGTAGACAATAAAAGACTCTTTTCAGGCCTATCGTAAGCCCGAAAAAGACAGTTTATTTTTGTTTAGAATTGAATTATTTTATTAAAGAATTGTCTAAAAAGTAATAAAGTTTTTATTTTTATTTTCTTTGACCAATTCTTGTTTTCAAATAGGTTGATGGCCCTATTCTAGAATGGCGTTGTAATGTCGTAGCTTCTTATAAGTATCTGTGGGTAGGACCTGGGGTCGTATTCTGGTCACTGTCTCTCGTCTCTCGTCTCATACAAGCTGGTCGCTGATTGGCTAATCATTTGGATAAACCAATCAGCGACCGGCTTGTGAGAGACGAGAGACCAGAGACGGTGACCAGAATACGGCCCCAGATCTCTACTAGAAATAAAATATATGAGGCCTTTCACCCCACCAATGAGTGAGATTATAAGCTGGAACTTTTTTATTTTATTTGTGAATCGGGCCTTGTCTATTGATAGTCTAAAGCTCTTACCATCAACAAGTGCTATCCACGTTGCTGGTTTTCATTCCTTCACTTCCCCCTTTGAAGTTTAAAAACATTAAAAGCGTTTTGAAAAATAAATTTAAAAAGATTCCTTAACAGTATTATGTTTTATAACAATTATTATAATTATTCAGTGTTATCACTAGTGATTCAATTTAAGTAATGGTCAAGTAGAAGTCCATTTTTTTCTCTTCTTCCCTTTCTGGATGCTGTCGAAGCTTAACTACAATATAATCCAATTTACGAACTTACACCTCCTTCTTGAACTTTATTCTGACATAACCTATTCACCCTTCTCAAGTTATCCAAATAAGATCAAAGTGCTACAAAATACCTATTTACTTAACAAATGATATTATCAACGTTACATGAGGTCATTTACTAAGAAGGAATGTCTCCCTAGATATTTTTCTGTGAGAAAATAGCTTTATTTAGGTATTAGGCACGTGAAGAAAACCTGGAAAACTTCACGCGACTAGTTTGTTGGTCAGGCGCAAACCTCGAACCAATTATCAGTATTTTATACACTTGGTTACTAGTGGGCACTTTGAAAAGACATTTAGTAAACAGAAAAGAAAATTAAGCAAAATTACAATGTTGTTAATTGAAAAACAAGATTTTATCATCGATAAAGGATTTATAATGTGGAGATGAAGGTGCCAAACTGCACGTTAAAACGAAGTATACATCTAAAAGAACGAAGGTATCGGCGTGAATGAAACGAAAATGAAGATTGGTTTGGTTTAATAAAATAAGATAATGAACAAGGACAATCTGAACGAGGGGATGCCTCCTGGGAGAACTTTCAATAGATAACCTGTTCCTATTTAGGTGTTAGACATTCGAAAAAAATTCAGAAAATTCCATGTAGCCAGCTTGTTATTCAGGTGCGAGCCCTCGACTTGCGTTTTGTCCATTTTGCCACTCAGACACTGAAATCTACGAATCATCAAATCGAAATATGCAGAAATTTTAAACTTTTTACAATCGTGATCTGATTTTTTGTATAAAGCAACGCGACATGTGGATAATCTGCCAAAGGAGGATGCCTCCCGGGAGGTCTCTCAGGGAAAGTGGCATCTATTTAGGTGTTACTAACCTGAAGAAAATGCAGAAAACTGCACATAGCAGCCTGTTGGAGAGGCGCAAACCTACGACCAGTGTTAAGTGATTTTATTCACTTGACCACTGAGGATCCTTCAAACGTAATTACAATACTTTTTACCAGTAAGTATTGGTCATGTTCCAGCACATTAAATAGTGTGTGTTCCCTGTTTATAAGTGAAAATATGGGTTATACCGTATTAACATTCTTGAAAGTAACGAATACTAAATTAATAAATAATATATTTAAATATGCATGTTTATGTGCATTGCATCATTATGTATGTATCAGAAATTACTGTTTACGATGCAAACAACAAACAATTTTACTTCATGTTTATAGTCTTTAAATAAATTCTAACGCATATTTACTTTAGTTATTCAATCTTAAAATGCAATATAAAATTGAAACTCTTCATCTAGAAGTTGAATGGGATTGCAAAATTTAATTGTAGAAAAGAAGTTAATTTTTTNGATGCGTGGACCCAGGTGCAGCTATATTTAGCAGAATTCAGTCACGTCAAGTTCGCATTTGCTCTGTTAGACATCTTGTTTTCAAACAGTTTTTCATCTAGATGTTGAACGACAGATTGGGAAAAATTGTGGCATGAATGTATAATTTATATTGAAATAAGTATTCCATGGAGTAAGTTCAGAGGAGAGTGAATAAATACAAGTTTATTATTCTTTGCTCTTATACTTTCAATATTGTTTTATCATAACAAAAAGAAGTCTGTGTTATTTTTTATTGTTAACTTGTATACTTGACTTTTAATGAACGCATTCGAAAGAATTAAGATCTATTATTACGTTTTAACTACTGTTATCAAATTTCATATGCGTTTAGTAAATTTCTCTTAAATATTATTTGCGTCTTTGTATTTGTTTATGATTATTTATGAATATTGAGTTACATCCATCTTTGTACGCTTAGATTTTTTAAATAAAAGACATTACATAGATTATTCAGATATATTTTAGTTCAATGTTCTAATAGAAATTGAATGACAGATACAACAACTGTAGATTCGAATAGGCCTATACATGTCTGATCATAATGGTATTTTTTCACGAACATGTAGTGTATGCTTTGCTTTCAGATACAGCCTGGTTACATAAAAGTATTGTGCAGTTTATTCTTTTAGAGACTAACGGAGCTATTTGTTGATTGGACAAATAGTTATTATTCACAAAATACGAGATATTATCTAATCTGTTCTATGGCTTTAGATTTTTATTCAAAATAATTCGTAATATCGAAAATTATAATTCGAACTTTCGTAATACATTTTTTTCTCATAAAAATAAAATTATTTATTGAATATTTACACACAAACAACAATATAAATTAAAGATTCATTAACATTACTAATTAACAAGGATAATGAATATAAATCTTCTCTTGTGAGTGTCTGGCTACATTCTGAAGAAACGCTTCATTACTATGAATCTTTTATATCTGCTTCGGTGCCAATGGCGAAGATGAATACAGTGCAATCCCTATAAAAGACCACCCCTGTAAAGCGACTACCCCTCAAGAAGTGCCCTTTTTTCTCTTTGTCGCAAAGTAAGGGTTTTGTATCTATTTTTTCTCATTTGAGTACTCCTAAGAGAACAATACAATCTTCAATGCTCGTTAAACTAGTCCTATCATCAATTTCCTTGTTAAATATAAACATAATAATAATTAAAAATTATATTATGATTAAAAGTATATTCTCTCGATTTTAGTAGTATCTTGCTCCTGTACATTGTACTTTTCCTGATAACAATAGAGTCCTGTCAGTTATCTAACTCCGTTCCCTTTATATTTTTTAAAGGAAAACAGACTTACAGGACTATGAGAAATATATAACTTGTATAATGAATGGGTAATATATTGAATATATAATTTATTAGGTGTACATTCTTCAGCCTTTTTAACTCTCTCATTCGCTTTGTGTATGTACTTTTAGCAAATTCCTCTTCTTTGATTAGTGTGCAATAGTTCATAACTATTGTACATCAAATCTATGTGCCTGTAATACGACTGAAAACAGTCTACGTCGACAATATCTTATTTTCTATGCTATTGAATATTCAGCAGCATCACAACGGTTCGTTTGGTTACGACAACGCGACACGTGAGCAATCTCCCGAGGGGGATGCCTCCCTGGAGGACTTTTATGTAAAATTGGCCCCTATTTAGGTAATAAACACCTAAATAGGAGCAGTTTCTTTTATAAAATCCCCTTCAGCAGATTGCTTATGTTGCCATACAAACTAAAAATACTGTACAAAAATTTTGGTATCATCCAGTGTGGTCTGATCCTCCGCATCCTTACTGATGCCACTTTTCCAAATTACAGAATTTTAAACTAATGTATCATATTTCTTTTATTTTGTAATTAGAAAATGAATGTAAAACGAGATTTTCCAATATTCAATGAAAGATTTGGAATTTATATCGTAATTCAAAAGTTAGAAAATTTAGAATTATTAAGAAAAATCATTAAAATGTTATCTTATATCTTCGAATCTTTCATTACTTTAAAAGGGAAAATTAACTTGTAGATCGTTAAACGTTAAGCACTTAAGCACTTATATTTTTTTTTACATTTTAATTAAGTAGAGATTCGAATTTTCTTCATTTCAACTTATTATTATTATTATTTTTTTAAATTAATGAATAAATTTTTTTCTGAAATATTATAAATTTAATTACTAGTTATTAAACAGTTTTTACACTAATTATTAACTTTATATTGGAACGAAAGGCAAGAAGAAATTAAAAGAATCAACCCAACTTTTGACGTCAAAGGTACAAATATAGGGTGGCCCAAAAATTAGTTAACCATTATAAACAAGATGTCACTTTTCAACTAGTCAATTCCAGAAAGTTTCTTAATTAAAATAATTTTTCTTCGTTAATTTATCTTATTCAGTTTTATTTTAATATAAAAGAAAAATTCTTCCAAATGATATTCTGACATAAATTTATTTATTTTATTATTTTTTTTTTATTAATGTGACACGAAACTTTATAAAAATTTCAATTTAGTTTGATTAAGCATTAAATAAAATTACATTTATTTGATTTAATATAAGGCAAATAACATGTCATATAATAAATTTGTTAATAAAGTTAAAAATCTTTGAATTAATCCAAAATTTAAGAGAATAAATTAATTTGTTTCGATGTATAATATTTATTTAAAATTAAATTTAAATGAGAAATATAAGGAATTTTGACAGTAGTAGTATGAAGAAAAATCGCTTTGTCATACGAAAATTATAGTTGAATTTATTAATAAAAAATCAGGACCTAAGGGAAATGAAATAGGGCCCGAGCTTCTCGCAAAGGAATGGGGATCTATACTTATGGGCATGGAACTCGTCTTTATTCCAAATACTTAAAAATATAGGAATAAAATCAGTAAAAACACGCAAAAATAAACTGTTAACAATACAAAGTAAATGTTCTGCCTTCTTTCTGTCCAAGGCATAGGTCTTTCATTGAGAAACTGGCTCTCCTTTAGGTGTTAGAAAACCTGAAAATCTCAACGCGACCAGCCAGGCATGAACCCACGACTAGTGTTTAATGGTGTTATCAACTGATGCATGGGTCTGAAATCACGTAGGATATAATAAAAGAGATGTTAACTATTATACTAGGTATTTACATTATCGTGACATAAGAGTGTAATGTATTTTTCAGTCATTTTGTTATATAACAATAGTAATACCTTATATGCATACTCTTATGAATGCAAGATGCATTCATAAACTATCTAAACGGAACATTTTCCCAAAATTACTGTAATTAAATTTATTTTCTGGATTAAGGTTTATATACAATATTATATAACGTAATTAGTTGCTATAATCACTGCCTTGAGCCTAGTTAAAGTGCTCATAAAGATGCCACCGCATAAATGAATATGATCAATCCATATTTAATGCTTTTAAAATTTGATTTTTCTCTCCGTCTCTCCCTCTTTTCCACTCCTCGCTTTTCTCTTGCTTCTAGAAAAAAATCATTCTATAGTTTTCTTCTTTATTTTCTGATTTCATTCCTTAAATTTTGAACATAATGCTTTCTATCTATTCCATATGTCTATTGGTGCAAGTACGTGGCAAGCAAGCATGTTTAGATATTAAAAAACGCTATAAAATACAGTTGATTCGACTGAAACTACGGAAGGACGTGCATTCTGTATGATGACTAACGCAGTAAATGAATCCAAAATGGCTGCTGGATATATCTAGGTACTCTAGTCTAACTTACTTCCAAAAATTCGAAGATCTCTCGAATTTAAACACTGATTCCCCATAGTGGAAACTTTGTTTCAGTCGTCCAATTTCTCTAATATTTTTTTTCTTCTTCTATCTTCCTTCTTTTTCATGGTTCTGTCTCATCTCTTGAGGAAAACTTACAACAGAAGATGTTCCTAAAGACGATAAGTTTTCCAAAAACCGGTTACAAGATCTTCAATAAACTTGAAATAATTTACAATATAGAACAAAGAGGAATGTAATAAAGACGAAAACACAACCCACAAGCGGCCATGTGGATAAAATTATGAACACTGGTCGTGGGTTCTCGCCTCTTCAAAGGTAGCTACGTGAAGCTTTTAGGGGTTTCTTCACCTA